TCCATCGCTTTTTGTCATCCTTTTCGTGAACTAGTATTTTATTATTTTCATCTCGGATATACCTAATCTGCTTAAAATCAGTTTAGTTCCGGGTGTGTTTTCGTCATTTTACAGTTGATTCTCAAGCAATTAAAAGTCTTGAGGCATTATATCTTGTTTTTATTATTTATTATATTTTTTTTGATCTTTTTCGATTTATACTAATTTCCTGATGATACGTTTTGCCCTATTTTCAATGTTAGTTAATCATCGTCTTTTCAATTTAAGTTTATTTTATGTAACAATAAAACACTGAAAACTTTGTTTTCAAAACTTCCACAAAATTTATTTTAAATATTATCACTACAGCTGTTTCGGCTGATTGCCTTTCTCAAGTGATCTATTTTGGCTTGGGTTTACAAATTTATAGTCTCTAATGAAATAGGTTGAGGAGGGGAGAACTGTTTGTCTCAAGTTGGTCATTCAGAATTATATCTGTGTTTTTTAATTTGTTGATTTCCATAGATTCTAACAAAGATAGCTTAAGGCCTTTATTTTGAATGTGAAGAATTTTAAATTTGTCATTAAAAGAATGATTATGATCTAGAAGGTGAAGTGCGTATGTCGAATCTGTTTTTCTATTCTTGAAAGCCCTTTTATGTTCTGCTATTCGTTTATCAAAGTTTCTACCAGTTTGACCGATGTAAGTTTTTGGGCAGTCGCCACATTGGAGTTTGTATACACCACTATTTAAGTGTTTTTTATTTTGGCTCTTGTTATTTTTAATATATTTGCCTAGGTTGTTATTTGTTCGGAAAGCTGGTGTTATTCCTTTCTTTTTTATGTGTTTGGCAATTTTTGTTGTTATTTTTCCTGTATATGTAATCGAGCAGAAGGTACTGGGTTTTTTCTCTGGTGGTGGAAATACTAATTTCAGGGCTTTCTTGTGTAGTTTTTGATTTAACATTTTATTAATTGTTTGTTCGTTGTATCCGTTGTTTACTGCTATTTGTTTAATTATATTTAATTCTGTCTCAAAGTTGTCTTTTGACATCGGAATTTCTGTTAATCTATGTAACATACTATGATAAGCTGCCAGTTTATGTTGTGTTGGATGGGATGACGAATTGTGTATAGTCGTGTCAGTATGGGTAGGTTTATGAAATATGGAGAAGTCATGTTTGTTTTGAAATCTGCTAATTTTTAAGTCTAAAAAATTTATGGATTGATTTTGTTCTGTTTCTATTGTAAATTGAATATGACTATGAACTGAATTAATATATGATAAAAATTGGTCGAGTTGCCTGTTAGTTCCTGTGAAACATACCAGTACGTCGTCTACGTATCTCCACCAATATAAAAACTGTTTGAATACGGGATGTTTTGAAATCTTTGTCTCTAGATGATCCATAAAAATATTGATAACAATGGGCTTAGAGGATTACCCATTATAAGTCCGCACTGTATGTTAATGGGTAATCCTCTAAGCCATTGTTATCAGATATTTTTATGGATCATCTAGAGACAAAGATTTCAAAACATCCCGTATTCAAACAGTTTTTATATTGGTGGAGATACGTAGACGACGTACTGGTATGTTTCACAGGAACTAACAGGCAACTCGACCAATTTTTATCATATATTAATTCAGTTCATAGTCATATTCAATTTACAATAGAAACAGAACAAAATCAATCCATAAATTTTTTAGACTTAAAAATTAGCAGATTTCAAAACAAACATGACTTCTCCATATTTCATAAACCTACCCATACTGACACGACTATACACAATTCGTCATCCCATCCAACACAACATAAACTGGCAGCTTATCATAGTATGTTACATAGATTAACAGAAATTCCGATGTCAAAAGACAACTTTGAGACAGAATTAAATATAATTAAACAAATAGCAGTAAACAACGGATACAACGAACAAACAATTAATAAAATGTTAAATCAAAAACTACACAAGAAAGCCCTGAAATTAGTATTTCCACCACCAGAGAAAAAACCCAGTACCTTCTGCTCGATTACATATACAGGAAAAATAACAACAAAAATTGCCAAACACATAAAAAAGAAAGGAATAACACCAGCTTTCCGAACAAATAACAACCTAGGCAAATATATTAAAAATAACAAGAGCCAAAATAAAAAACACTTAAATAGTGGTGTATACAAACTCCAATGTGGCGACTGCCCAAAAACTTACATCGGTCAAACTGGTAGAAACTTTGATAAACGAATAGCAGAACATAAAAGGGCTTTCAAGAATAGAAAAACAGATTCGACATACGCACTTCACCTTCTAGATCATAATCATTCTTTTAATGACAAATTTAAAATTCTTCACATTCAAAATAAAGGCCTTAAGCTATCTTTGTTAGAATCTATGGAAATCAACAAATTAAAAAACACAGATATAATTCTGAATGACCAACTTGAGACAAACAGTTCTCCTCTCCTCAACCTATTTCATTAGAGACTATAAATTTGTAAACCCAAGCCAAAATAGATCACTTGAGAAAGGCAATCAGCCGAAACAGCTGTAGTGATAATATTTAAAATAAATTTTGTGGAAGTTTGAAAACAAAGTTTTCAGTGTTTTATTGTTACATAAAATGAATTTCCATCAAGTAACGGTCGAATCCATCAATTATTTATTTTATGTTCTTATGACGTGCTTTACTAGGATTTGTTTTATTTCTTTTCTTAGTGAACTGAATGTTAAAAAGAAAGAAAAACAACGAATGCATGTGACAGAAAGGAGAATGCTTAGGTGGATAAGTGACGAAAAAGAATAAAATTAATAATGAGTATATTAGGAGAAGTCTTGGTTAAGATGGTTTGTTCATGTTCAATGTAAATAAGTTAATTATCCAATACGAAGAATTGCTGATCTGCGGGTTCCTGGAAAAAAATCCTAGGGAAGACGCTTAAGCAGGACAAGTCGGTAAAGGGTATTGATATGACCCAAGATAGAAACTGATGGGGGCATGTAATTAAGGAAGCCAACCCCGCATAGGCATAAGATCAAAGATAATGATGATGATAATTATTAATGATAAAATTAATGCTAGAATAGCGTGTAAATTTAAATTACGTCAGAAGTTATTAAAAATTGACGTCAAAAAAGGGCTTATAAAATACAAAAGAAATTCGTGGAATAACAATATGTGGTAATAAGTATGATATAAATATGAATAAGTATGAGGTAATACATAGCACAGAAAGACAAAAAGTCTACGTAGGTATCTGTTTTTATATCCATTTCTCTAAGTCGTTTAAGAAATATAAGTTGAGACTTAGAAGAAGTTTCCTAGAAATTAGTTCATTGAAGTTTAATAAGTATCGTAGGCATCCGAATGTAAACGACCAGCAGCTAATTGGTCATTCCTTCCTGCGTCATCACTGTCTCCCACATCATTGGCTTAGGTTACAATGTTCTTGTTCTTAATTATTTGATTCACGATTTCGTATTCATTTAAGTACTGATAACCTAGCTCATAAAAACCATCATTTTCAAACCACTCTCTTGCATCAAGTTTATCATGTTCTCTAAATCCAGACAACGTTTGGAATAGAGCCACAACTTTATCTTCGGTAACAGTGTTATCGTCCGCACTTTTAGCGCTGGTATTTCCTTCTCCTTTATTCAACTATGGAGTGGTCATCCACAATTGTTTTAACGCGTTTGGCGGTAAGGCTCTCTATGCATCAGCTAGCATGTAAGTTGAGTCCTAGAGATTGAGATTTTTTACAAATTACACTACACTTTCTTCATCTTCATAAAATACGATGTGGTGGACATAATCCAAATTTGTGTCCACGTCGATAATACTAACGCTCTACTTTATATCAACAATATCTCACTTGTCGATCACAGATAAGGTTCTATAAAGCGTTCTTCATACTGATACTCCTTGACGCAGTGGTAGTTTAGAAATCAATATCTGAGTCAACTGGAAGAAGCTACAGAAAATGGAAGCAGTAATGTTTTTATAGTTAGGGAGCACTACACGGATACAACGTCCATATCAACACCCGCAGGTGATTCCAGTATATCTGGCCACATACAGTGCTTAGAATATTCTTCTTCTAATAGGTTATTCCACAGTTGAACACCAACATTTCAGCCTATCCACATTACCTTAAGAATAAAAACGGTTGATTCCAACGCAATGAAAGTAAATGAGACCAAAAAAAAGGAAGATCCTGCATTTATATATAAGTATTAAAATCTGAAAAATGAAAAGTTTTATTTTATAAACAGCAAGTTTAAAGCAAAACATCTTAATGGTGTGTAGTCATGACGTCTTTATTTACCAACTACTTGAGAGCAAGCTAATATTCATGATATGTATGATAAGTTTAGATACCTAGAAGAGTTAGCAACGCTGACAAGAGGAGCAAGACATATTAAAACACCTGTTGCCTACTAACGAGGTAATGGTTCGTCAATAATTCCGGACTATAGGCAATGACAAAACCAGAAATTATAAAGAACATCCCTCTAACACTAGTTGGTCACTATCGGTTCAGTGACCAATCCCTTATAGATGGATTATGGTTGAATATTCTACACAACATTAACTAAGAATAAACGCAAAAAAAATACTCGTACCTAATATAATTTGAGACTGACACCAATAAATGAATTGCGAATGTATTTATACAAATAATAAATCACTAACTCTAAAAAAATCAAACGAAGATGTAATCATATAGCAAAATAAAAAAATATGCGATTGTTCGCATGTATAAATGCAAGTACCTTTATACATACCTAATAAAAAATATTATAAACCAAAACTAACAAAATAATAAGATTATAAGTAACAGTATAACAAATAAAAATAAATCTTTAATAATATAAAAACATAAATGTTTAGTACTTACAATGCTATTTATAAGATAAATAAAGAAAACAATTTTTGCAAATCATTTGAACAAATTTGTCTTTGTTTAACATGATATACTAAATTTAAAATAGAAATATAAAATGCAGCTACTAACCTTAAAACTCTCCTATTTATAAAATACAATCACAAATTTTCACAAAATCAACGCTTCACACCGAAATAAAAAATATATAATATCACCTTTCCCGCTGCGCTTTGTTTAGAAATCAACAAAAACCCACTTATTCAACCGATTTGCCAGAACACAAACACAAGAATACTAAATCCACGTGGTAAGCAGGCGTGCGTTTCTCAAGCCTGCAGCGGAATGGTTGGCACGACCTGCGCTAAAGAACGTTTAACACTGACTGGACTCGGTTTGGCGCCTACTAACAATTTTAAAAATGACAGTGGATGCGGAGGGATTTGGCAAATAATAAATTTTGATATCTCCCACTATTTTTAAGATTAAGATAAGGAATTGAGTGGTTACAATCATTAATCATACAAGACTTGCTCTAATAGTGCATTCATATTCATAACAAATTTAAACTATTCCAACATTTAGATAAACTTTGGTATAAGTGGAATTTTAGCGGCCCTTAATATTTTGGCGGCATCTTCAGGTAAAGATACAGTGTTTTTATGATTTTTTTCTTTTAAATCTTTACAACCGATTGAATGTTAGCCGGTACGTGTTTCGGCTCGTGGCTATTAATGCCGTAAGATATTTACAAAGGAAAAGCTTAACGAGATCCTTTGAAAATACCATTTAGCAGAGGTTTTATTATAAAAGTAGAGAAAGATGAACCATAAAAATATTGTCCTATACTTTGAAAATAATATCATACTAAATAGGTAATGTTTTGACATTTGACCTTCGTGATTTATTGGAAATAAAAAAACACTCTTCAGTCTGCATATGTATACTTATACATGTATAGATTTCAAGGTTTGGTTGATATATTATGAGTATATCGGTTGGACTTTAAACAAATTAAACATGGTAAATGATTAAATAAACTAAGAAAAAGTCCGTCTCTGGTAGCTGGTGCGTGAATTGAGTAACTCTCTATCAGTGCCGGTCTCAAGCCCTGATAAAGGAGGAGGGTTTGCGCCAGGAAGAGCCTGCGGCAGTACAAGCCTTGCTAAAACCATCGAAAGAAGGAATATGGAAAAATAGTTTAGAAGCTAGAGCGTTCCACGTAAGCGACACGCAGTTGTGCCCTCGCCTAATCCCCGCGAAAAGAGAGCTAGGACAACCTCGTAGAGGACCGAAGGGACCAAGAGATAATCCTGAGAGTTTTAACTCTCAAAGTCAAAAGCATGACGGATAAAAGAAGAGAGCTTCGCCGATTTCATGCAGAGAAGGATTGGTGTACTTTGTGTGCAGGAACCTCGTTGGAAAGATAATAAGTCGAGGGATCTTAGAGATGGATGCAAGTTAATTACAGTACTTCGAACATGGCCGAAATGGAGTAGATATTATTTTGAACAACGTATATACGGAACATCTTGTAAGCAGGCTAACCCGAAGAAGTGATAGAATAATGAGTGACTAACTGAAAGCAGGCAATACCATCGTGAACATCATATGTACCTACGCCCCAAAAGTAGGGTGTGAAGAATAGGAAAGCGAAGAATTTTGGAGGGCTCTTGATTGTGAGATGCTTGAAATTCCTGTAGACGAAAAGTATTTTATTGAAGGTGATTTCAATGGACATATTGGTAGAGAAAAAGCGGCAATAGAAAGAGTTCATCGAGGTTTGGGGATAGGAATAAGAAATGATGAAGGAAAATAGTATGATTGACTTTGCAGTTGCATATGATTTGGTTGTTATTAATTACTTTCCTTATGAAGACTGAAGTAGTATGTTACCTATAGTAGCAGAAGAAAGAATAGTCAGATTGATTTTGTGCTACATAGAAGACATCAACTAAAAGAGGTTACCAATCGTAAAGTGGTAAAGGGTGAGTGTGTAAATAGTCAACACCGATCGGTAATAGTGGATACGGAGATAAAGGTGAGGCGGAAAGGAAAGCAAATAGGATATCAGAAAATAAAGTTGAGGAAGTTAAAGGATAAGGATTCGACAATAGTCTTTAAGATTAGAGTGCTGGAGAAGCTTGAGGAAAAAGATACGGTAAATGACTGGAATGGTAAATGGTCGGAAGCCAACAGTAAAGTTGTAGTGAGTGTGGGAGAGGAAGGCAAGGAAACCAACGGGTGTGGAAGTCCAGTGGGACTGCCGTAAAGTTATACTTCTATACACGCGTTAAGAGCGCATAAAGAGAAAAATAATAGGTATATAGGTATATGGTACATAGTTTGCTGTATATAAACATTTGACCTGTAATAGGAGTATAGCAAATGAAGGATTTAATCAATATTTTAATGAAAATATATATTTTTATATTCGTATATGTATAAAAGGAGTTGAATACAAAAAAACATTTTTACACATACTCTGCAGTAAAATTCATTGTTTATTTTGTTATTAATATAAACACACAATACAATACACTGCAACATAATTCAATATAAGTCAATACAAAATGCAATGTTAGTAAGTATTTAAAAATGACAATATACATAACTTACTACACATATGTTTAATTTACCATGATAATATTATTATTAAAAAAATAATAATATTAATAAATATTAAATATTTTTACAAAAGGAACATTTTTATTCTCGAGAGAGAAAAAAAGAGAAAATTTCCAATGTCGAACGCACGTGTAGAAGTATAACTTCAAAAAACGTTTGTGGAAGATAAAAATAAAAAATAAAAAACTCGGATTATGTTGTAAATTTTCATTTTATTTTAAAATTTAGCATTTTTTCATATATTACATATATTTAATAAGATTAACGTGGGGTTTTTAAATATTTCAAAAACAAAAAAGGAAAATTCATATTGGGATTCGAACTCACATATACCAGCGTATAAACCAAACACGTAAGAAATGTGCCAATTAGACATGACACTAACGTATTTCAAAATTGACAGTTCTCGGTCATTATAATATATTATATATATATATTATATATATATATATATATATATATATATATATATATATATATATATATATATATATATATATAATATATACAAAATGAACATTTTGATGTTTTATTTTTATTTATTAGAGAGAAAATATATCTTCTGTCTCTCTCTTACTCATATCTTACATATCGACTGGTCCAACGAAGACTGTAGTAACTCAAATTTTCCACTTTTTGAGTTACGAGCGCAAAACAATAAAACATAATGATATCTTCCCCAGGAAAGAATCGTATCCCAGTAAACGTAGTTATGCAACCAATATTACGTGTAAGAGTTTTATAGTATCTCCGATTTATGAAAGACAACCGTAGAAAATCATCGTATCTTGAGTTACAATAGTCTTCGTTGTTATCTGAGGCGATAGCATAGGTATCGTAACATGAGTTACTACGGTATTCTGCGTTAGTTTAAGGTTATGTTCAAAAGTTTAGTTTTGTTATAATTGCCATAATGTGTTCCAGAAGTGAGTTAATATTGGAATTAGCTGAGAAAGCGTATAAAAAACACTGAAACGGATATTTCTTATCGTTCTTTTGAAGGTAAATTTATAATAAACTTTATTTAAAATAATAATAGCAAAGTAAAAACCTACTTATTTTTTAAGGTAAACATATTGCTGAAAGTATTGTAGAAGAAAGCAAATACAAAAAGGCGAATGAGGATCCTGGTGACCACGAGACTGATATTAATCCTAAATGTTCTACAGGTTGGTTTAAATTCCACATCAAAAAATATTACGTAGGCATTTACCTCATTTTTGTTTAATTTTAGTAAGCTTAGAAGAGAATGAAGCCAATAGAAATGAAAATGAAATAATTGAGAAGGAAAGCGATGAGGAACCATTTCATGCAGACTCTGATACTGACCCAGATTACATTCCGACAGAAGACAAAAACATCCCTGAAGTAATAATTGAACCTAATAAGAATACAACTGAAGCAACCACAAATAGAAAGAGAAGAAGCAGAGGCAATATAGAGAGAGTAAGTAGGAAAAGAATTAGAGACGTTAGTAAGTGGGCGGATGAAAAATCTAAAAAAAGTCTAAACCTGGGACTTGAACATGAAAATCGAAAAGGTATTCAAATTAAAGGAAGACAGATGGGTGCACCATGCGCAAACACATGTAGACTAAAATGTGCTACCAAAATAGCTAAAGAAGATAGAGACCTTTTTTTCAATGAATTTTGGAAATTAAAAGATCATACGAGAAAGTGGGATTTTATTGCTTGTCATGTGAGACAGATTGCCAAAAAAAACAAGTAACTATTACTGCAGAACAACGGTCTCGAAGAAATTACTCTCGAGAATATTACTTCTACATTCGCAATGAAAAACAACGTGTTTGCAAAACTATGTTTTTGGAAACCCTTAACGTTTCAGAAACTTGGATCACTACAGCATTAAGGAAACTGAAAGATGGTGGATCATTAGAGGAAGATAAACGTGGAAAGCACACTAACAGACCACATAAACTATCACCAGAACTTATAGACAACGTAAAAAATCACATAAATCAGTTTCCTGTAGTACCTTCCCATTATATCCGTAAGAATACCTTGAAGAAGGGCTAACTATCCAAAAAATTTACCGATTGTACAACGAGCATTGCGAAAAAAATAATATCACTACAGCTGCCACGTCACGTCAGTATAGAGATATTTTCAATGAACAGTTCAATATTGGGTTCTTTAAACCAAACATGGACCAGTGTACTGTTTGTTCTGTTTTTAATATGGCTAGTGATGCTGAAAAAGCAAAATTGCTCGAACAATATGAGTCCCATATGAAAAACAAAGAAGTTATCAGAATACTTAAAAGACATAGACAAACAGCTTGCACTAGATGATAAGAGCTTGTGTGTGGCTTGCTTTGACCTTCAAAAGGTTTTAGCTACCCCTTTGTCTAACGTAAGTGATTTTTACTACAAAAGCAAATACTCTACATATAACTTTACAGTTTATGATGTTGGAAATAATCAGGGTTACTGCTATGTATGGCACGAGCAGGTGGCTAAAAGAGGTCCTAATGAAATTGCCAGTTGCCTCTGGAAATTTTTAGATCTCAAGGCACAACAAAGTGTTTAAAACGATAATATTCTATTCAGACAACTGTGGGGGACAAAATAGGAATCGTTTTGTGTTTTCGATGTTTGCTTTTGCTGCTGCTCATTTTCATATTGATATTGTTCACAGATTTCTGGAAAAAGGCCACACTCAGAACGAAGGTGACAGTATGCATGCTGTTATCGAAAATGCAAACAAAAGGTAATCGGTTGTATATGTGCCAGAACAGTGGGTTACAT